ATACAGATCCACCAGGCCCTCCAACAGGTCTCAAGCCTACAGAGGTCACTAAAGATTCAGTCACCTTAACATGGAATGAACCAGATGAAGATGGTGGTAGCCCTATAACTGGCTACTGGGTTGAAAGATATGATCCTGAGCAAGATAAATGGATAAAATGCAATAAAATGCCAGTGAAAGATACAACATTCAAGTAAGACTATAGTCAGTTTAGTCTGATTGAGGTCACAGAGACACAAAAATGTAACAGTAGCCCTTTGAACAAGTTTTACATTGTTCTTATTCTTTTTTCCTTGCTTCCATAAGTTTAGATCCAACTAACATCTGGTGGCATACTTTTTTTGATAATTCATTTTAAAGAAAATCTTTACAGATGGGTGAATCATCTCTGGTTTGGGGTTTGTTTTGTTGATAATATTATGCTTAATAATTTCTGTTACATGGTTATTTATAAGACATGCTAAAATAGCAGACATAGCCTTCTAAAGTATCAATTTGCCAAAATCCTAGGGTTTTTTCTCCTGATACTGGTATCAGCTAACAACTGGGGAACATGTGAAAATGCAAGATGGCTCTGAAAACACTAGTTTTTGCGTCATGTGGCACCATTTTACTGTTGACAGTATACCTATCTGGATGTTCACCATTTCATAAAACATCATTAGCTGTAATCTGGGTATTTCCAGATTTTCAAAATAAACTGTGGTATGAAGAGTAGAGGGAATAATGTTTTAGGCGTGATTTAATGTGTAGATTTAGTTTAATCAATCTTAATTTTTATTTCCAGAGTTAAAGGTCTTACAAATAAGAAGAAATATAAGTTCCGTGTCTTGGCAGAGAATCTTGCAGGACCTGGAAAACCAAGCAAGGAAACAGAGCCAATCTTAGTGAAAGACCCAATTGGTATAATAAACACATTTGTAATAGTTTAATTTAACAACAAAAAAAATTCTTTGTTTCCAATCACATAATTAATATTGGGCTTCTGTCTAGATCCACCATGGCCTCCTGGAAAACCAACTGTGAAAGATGTTGGCAAGACATCATTATTCCTGAACTGGACAAAGCCAGAACATGATGGGGGGGCAAAGATTGAATCTTATGTCATTGAACTATTAAAGACCGGAACAGATGAGTGGGTGAGAGTGGCTGAAGGAGTTCCCACAACTGAACACTTCCTCAAAGGGCTGATGGAGAAACAAGAATATTCATTCCGTGTAAGAGCTGTGAACAAGGCTGGCGAGAGTGAGCCCAGTGAACCCAGTGACCCTGTGCTGTGCAAGGAGAGGCTCTGTGAGTATTGTTTCAGAATGTGCTGCTACAGAATGTCTCTGTCTTTAAAAAAGCTCCATGTCTGCCTATTTCTGTATGTACCAAGTAAACTCTTGGAAGGCTTATGAAATATTAGAATCTGTTCTGCTTCCACTAAGTAAATACAAAGTTTTAATACTTTTGGTATATTCCCTATCTTCCAAGATCTTTGATGGGAAATACACTAACCTGCTTTACCTTCTTTTTCTATTTTACAGATCCTCCTTCACCACCTCGGTGGCTTGAGGTTATTAATATTACTAAAAACACAGCAGACCTTAAGTGGACAGTACCAGAAAAAGATGGAGGTTCCCCAATTACCAACTATATTGTTGAAAAGAGAGATGTAAGGCGCAAAGGCTGGCAAACAGTTGATACGACAGTGAAAGATACCAAGTACACAGTGAGCCCACTGACTGAAGGCTCATTGTATGTGTTCCGTGTGGCTGCTGAAAATGCCATTGGACAGAGTGACTATTGTGAAGTTGAAGATTCAGTGCTTGCTAAAGATACTTTCAGTAAGTTTCAGATTTGCTTTCTGAGTCATCAGTAGAAACAGATCACATGTAAAGGATTCCTATTCTTCTAATGTGGTGGTGGTTTTTTTTTTTTTCTTTTCCTTAGCAACCCCTGGGCCTCCATATGCTCTTACAATAGTTGAAGTAACAAAAGGTCATGTTGATTTAAAATGGGAGCCACCTAAGAATGATGGTGGCAGACCAATTCAAAGGTAAGGTAATTTTAAGTTTGTGTAGTGTTTCTTGTAGATGAAGATCTTTTAATATATGAAGACAATTCTCACAGAAGTTTAAATTCTAAAAGGACACGAGAGGTGGATCAATTTAAAAGAGAATCCATGTGGTCAAATTGATTAAGACTTCGATTTTAAAATGTGGAAATTTTGCAAAATAAATAACCTAAATTGCATGAACAATGATTTTGTGGCAACATCCTCAAAACAGCATCTAATCAAATCAGATTCAATTGAATTCTATATAAAATTAAAAAAATTAATGCAACCATAGTCTCCAGTTTCTCCAGACCTGTAGACACTTAGATCCACCTACCAAGTAATATTGTAACATTTTCTTTCTGCTTTAGCTTCTCATTCAAATTATATACACTCAGCTAAGATGAAGCCTCATCTCTTTTCTGTTCATCTTCTTATTACACTTTTCAGACAGACACTTACACTTTTTTGGGTTGCTTCTAACTTGTCCTTTTCTGTCCTATGAAATTCACCTAGAATGCCAGTTAAATTTGTCCTATTTATATTCCTCTTTCTCTCCTTTCCAATCCCAGTAAGCATATCTTAAAACAGACAAGTACAGAGATCTGCCTGAAGCAACATAAGTCACTTAACTCACATTACTTTCCCATAGTATATCACAGGCAGAATTGTGACAGCTGAGTAACTCATAGATAATATCTGTAAATATTCTCAGTGGACTAGCCATTGAGATCCAAACTGGAGGTTCTCTTACCTCTGCAGCTCTCTAAAACCTGAGAACACAGCAGAAGTTCAGGAACTGTCTTTCAGAATCGGGTCTGTCAGTAATGTCAGCCCCATTATACCCAAGCCCTGCCAGGAGTATCATGACTAAGTGGCTGATGTGTGGAGTAAAGTTCATTGAATGTATCTCTCTACTTTTCCATTGGTCAAATTATTCTAATCTCTGTATTTTACTGAGCAAGAAGACTGAAGTATTCATATTTCAAGTGTCTGATAGTATTTTCCCCAATGTATTCAGATATGTTATTGAAAAGAAAGAAAAACTAGCCACTCGCTGGGTAAAAGCTGGCAAGACAGCTGGTCCAGACTGCAATTTCAGAGTGACTGATGTCATTGAAGGTACAGATGTACAGTTCCAGGTTCGTGCAGAAAATGAAGCTGGCTGTGGTCATCCCAGCGAACCAACTGACCTCATTCATATTGAAGATCCAACAAGTGAGTAGTCCTATAATATATAGCATATGAATTATGGAAGCAGGGTGCTGTGTAGAATAGATATTCTGGGAGAAAAATGACACAATCCTTTTCCATTTCTGCAGGCCCTCCTTCACCTCCTCAGGATTTACATGTCACAGATGCAGGTCGAAAGCACATTTGCATTGCATGGAAACCACCTGAGAAGAATGGTGGAAGCCCTATTATTGGGTATAATGTTGAAATGTGTGAAGCAGGAACAGAAAAATGGATGCGAATCAATTCTCGTCCAATAAAAGATCTAAAATGTAAAGTGGAGGAAGGTGTTGTTCCAGACAAGGAGTATGTGTTGAGAGTCAGAGCTGTCAATGCTGTTGGAGCTAGTGAGCCATCAGACATCTCCGAAAAAGTTGTTGCCAAGGACCCAGACTGTAAGAATAGATTCCTTTTTTTTTTTTTGAGAGAGAGAGATCTGCATGACAGAAAACAAAAGAATGGTGTTTGGCAACTTTCTAGTAATATTATACTTACTTTTACAGGTAATCCAACCATTGATCTAAAAACTCGTGACATTGTTGTTGTTAAAGGACAGAAATTAAGTATCCCTATACCCTTCAGAGCTGTACCATCCCCAACTATAACGTGGCACAAAGATGGCAAAGAGTTGAAAGCTGGTGACAGAACAACAATGAAGAGTGACTACACCTCTGCATTGCTTGAAGTCATAGACAGTGTTCATGCTGATGCTGGTGTTTATACTATCACATTAGAGAACAAACTGGCATCAACAACTGGCTCAGTCAATGTCAAAGTCATAGGTAAGTAGGCTACTTCCATTCTGAGGAATAAATACTCACTTGAGCCCCGCAGCTGACAGAAGAAAGAACTAGAAAAATCCCTTTTCTGCCATGTGGAGGAATCACTTCAACTCAGACACATGTAGAGTGTCATAAAGACATTAATGTTACAAAGTCCCACAGAAAAAAAACACTTCATCCCAAGTTGGTCTAACTAGTCAGTGACCACGCAAAATTAAAATATTATGAATAGTCATCATATAAAAATTTATAAACCTATAAGAATTCTGAATATTTTTCTCCTTTACAAATATAAATTCATATATATGCTGTGTAGCCAACATTTGTGGGTTTGGTCTGCTTTCCGCAAAGCAAAGAAACGCATTATAATTTCGTGTTTGCAGGAATACGGTTTCCCATCTATTTACTTAACTAATTTTATTATTCTTATTTAAAACAGGTCCACCTGGACAGTGTAAAGACATTAAGGCAAGCGATGTAACTAAGAATTCTTGCAAAGTATCCTGGGAACCTCCAGACTTTGATGGTGGTACTCCTATTCTGCATTATGTTCTGGAACGCAGAGAAGCTGGTCGTAGAACATATATCCCAGTCATGTCTGGTGAAAATAAGCTTTCATGGCAAGTCAAAGATCTTATCCCAAACAGTGAATATTACTTCCGTGTTAAAGCTGTCAATAAGATTGGAGGAGGTGAATATCTTGAACTAAGAAATCCAATCATTGCAGAAGACCCGAAACGTAAGGATTTTTTACTAAAAATTGATCTAGCAAATTGAATTTTAACTGAAAATCTTCATACTTTCATTTCTCATACGATCCCTCTTTTTGCTACTCTTCCACAGAGCCTCCAGATCCTCCTGTTGACCTTGAGGTCCACAACCCAACCTCAAAATCAGTAACACTTACGTGGAAACCACCCCTGTTTGATGGTGGAAGCAAGATAATGGGCTATATAATAGAAAAGCTTGCTAAGGGCAAGGAGAGGTGGGAGAGATGCAATGACTATCTGGTACCTCTATTAACTTATCCAGTGAAAGGTCTTGAAGAAGGAAAGGAATATCAGTTTCGTGTTCGTGCTGAGAATGCTGCTGGCATCAGTGAGCCTTCTCGGATTACTCCTTTTGTGAAAGCTGTGGATCCTATTGGTATGAATTGTTCATTTGATTGTTTGTAGTAATTGCCATACATCCTGAAACATACTGGAAGATTCTACTCTCCATTTATCATTCTGTCTTACTACAGATGCTCCAAAAGTCTTCCTTGCTGCAAACCTACAGTCTGGCCTTGAGGTGAAGAGAGGTGATGAGATCATACTGGAGGCACATATTTCGGGATCACCTTATCCATCTATCACTTGGCTGAGGAATGATGAAGTTGTCAGACCAGAGGAAATCAAAAAGAGAGTAACAACATATACAAGGAAGAAGAAGGGTGAAGCTGAAGAAGAGGAACCTTTCCAGCTTTCACTGCCAGAACGTATGAGTATTGACAACCATAAAGAAGGAGAGTCTGTACTATCAGTTCGTGACTCCATCAGAGCTGACCATGGGACATTTACAATTAAAGTGGAAAATGATCATGGTGTTGCAAAAGCCTCATGTGAAGTCAATGTGTTAGGTATGTAATGAATGTCCTCAAAAACACCTAGTTGTTTAGAGTATTGGGTAAGAAGTGCACAAGATAAATACAAATCTTTTTTTCTTGATTTACTAACAGATACACCTGGGCCTCCAATCAACTTTGTCTTTGAAGATGTGAGGAAAAATTCTGTCATTTGCAAGTGGGAGCCTCCCCTTGATGATGGTGGAAGTGAAATCCTGAACTATGTACTGGAAAAGAAAGACAATACAAAAGCTGAAATGGGCTGGGTTACTGTCAGTTCTACACTTAGGCACTGCAAATTCCATGTAACGAAACTGATTGAAGGAAAAGAATATCTCTTCCGTGTACTTGCTGAAAATAGAGTTGGATCAGGACCACCATGTGTTTCAAAACCAATGACAGCAAAAGATCCTTTCTGTAAGTTTTAATTTTTAAATACAACCTTTTCAGAAAACCAGTGTAAAGCTGGATTCTTAGACACTCAAATTTGTCTATGTGAATGTTTTCCAGAATAAACTTGAACAATGTAATTATTATTTATTGCACATTTTAAACCATTGAAATATAGTGAAATATTGAAAGCATTCTAATTTCAATACTAAAGAAATAAGAACAAAAATCACGATAATAAAACTTTACACTTAAAACACAACATCTGAATAGTTAACTTCAGTTAACATCTGAACACATCATTTGTGTTCAGTAGACTAATATTCTTACCAAAAGAGAGAACCACTCTAAGTTTGATTACTGATTGCAGTTAGGAATCAAAGTTTCTAAGAAAGAGAGTGGAAGAACTATGAATAACCTAAGATTAGCCATTTCTCATATCTTAATTTTCTCATAGGCTTGAGTAAGCTCTGAAGAAGTCAGCAATTATGACAAAATTACAATTCTTTTTTCAGCTCCACCAGATCCACCTAATAAGCCTGATGTGCAAGATGTTACCAGCAACAGTATGTTGGTTAAATGGAATGAACCAAAAGACAATGGCAGTCCGATCATGGGATATTGGATTGAAAAACGTGAAATTAATAGTACTCATTGGGCTCGGGTCAACAGGAACCTTGTGAATGCTCTGGAAATAAAAGTTGAAGGGCTGTTGGAAGGATTAACATACATCTTTAGAGTATGTGCCGAAAATGCAGCTGGTCCTGGTAAATTTAGTCCACCATCAGATCCAAAAACTGCGCAGGACCCCATAAGTAAGTAGCTTAGCAAAAGCTGATAGGAGATGAGTGACAGAATGGGATTCATAGCCTTTAACTTCGATTTACACCTATTTATTTATAGTGCCACCTGGTCCACCGATTCCAAGGGTTGCTGATACAAGCTCAACTTCTATTGAGTTAGAATGGGAGCCTCCTGCATATAATGGTGGTGGAGATATCACTGGTTACCACGTATACAAACAACTTATGGGCGTAAATGAGTGGTCACGTTGCACAGAGAAACCCATTAAGGTTCGACAGTACACTGTTAAAGAAGTCAGAGAAGGTGCAGACTATAAACTCCGTGTTACTGCACTTAATGCAGCTGGTGAAGGACCACCTGGTGAAACTGAACCTGTAACAGTTGCAGAACCTAAAGGTATTGCAATTGTATTCTTTTCAAGAATTGTTCAGCTGCCTAAAATGTGTTTCTGAATTACTTCCTTGAACTAATGAAATTCTCTCTCTTCTACAGAGCCTCCTACTGTTGAGCTGGATGTTTCTGTGAAAGCAGGCATTCAGATCATGGCTGGGCAAACTATTAAAATTCCTGCTACTGTGACAGGGCGTCCTACTCCCACCATTGTATGGGCTGTGGAGGAGGGTGAATTAGACAAAGAACGAGTTATGATTGAAAATGTTGGCACAAAATCTGAGTTAACCATTAAGAATGCATTGAGAAAAGACCATGGAAGATATGTAATTACTGCTACCAATAGCAGTGGTTCCAAATCTGCAGGAACCAGAGTAGAAGTATTTGGTAAGAAAAGTGTTTTCTGAACTCAATTGAGCATATCTGTAGTAGAGATAATCTTTGGACTTCATTCTACTTGCTTGATTTTGTTTTTCAGATGTTCCTGGGCCAGTCCTTGACTTAAAGCCAGTGGTCACAAACAGAAAGATGTGTTTGCTTAATTGGTCTGATCCTGAAGATGATGGTGGCAGTGATATCATAGGCTTCATTGTTGAAAGGAAGGATGCCAAAATGCATACATGGAGACTAGCTATAGACACAGAAAGGTCTAAATGTGATATTACAGGTCTAGTTGAAGGACAGGAATATAAATTCCGTGTTAGCGCCAAGAACAAGTTTGGTACTGGTCCACCTGTTGAAATAGGACCCATTCTTGCAGTTGATCCATTAGGTAAGATGACTTATTTTACGGGGGTTTTAAACAACTTTTGATTATAGGTTAGTAAGTCAGTACTGTTCTGTGGATTGTTTTCTACACAGAAAATGTATTTATATTTCTATTACCTGGCAAAGGCATTTGCCTTTGATTAGTTACTTCAGTCAGATCTCTGAATGAGTTCTGTAAAATTTCTACAGTTCTTCATGTTACAAAATATTGATGTCTGCATGAGACACTACTTGTTACGTTTTTATCCATATACATCAGAAATCTTATACTATCCACACTCAGAAACTTTGTGTACAAAAGCCATGGCTTTAAAAATCTAGAGCTACTGTATTCATAGGATTAAAAACTCTCTAGATTTTTAATGGGTTTATTCATTATTATTTATTTGTGTTAATAGGTCCTCCAACAGCACCTGAGAGGTTCATGTACACAGAGAGGACTAAGTCAACCATTACACTTGATTGGAAGCCTCCACGTAGTGATGGTGGTAGTCCTGTCTTAGGATATATTGTTGAGAAGAGGAGACATGACTCCAAAGACTATGAAAGAGTTAATGCAAGGCTCTGTCCTACAACATCTCTTCTCGTTGAAAAACTTGATGAACTTCATATGTATGAATTCCGTGTCAAAGCTGTCAATGCTATTGGAGAAAGTGAACCATCATTGCCCCTCAATGTAGTTATACAAGACGATGAAGGTACATCTGATTTCAAGAAATCCATATAGATACCTCCAGATCACCTCCAGGCAATTTTTCTGTTTCACCTCCACCTTCACTCTGTCATTTTTCTTCTTATTTGCAGTACCTCCAACTGTTACATTACGCTTGGCTGTGAGAGGAGATACTATCAAAGTGAAGGCAGGAGAACCAGTTAATATCCCTGCTGATGTGACAGGTCTGCCAATGCCAAAGATTGAATGGGACAAGAATGAAGTTTTAATTGACCAAACCTCCAGTGCACTTAAGATAACCAAGGAAGAAGTATCTAGAAGTGAGGCAAAAACTGAACTTAGCCTGCCTGCAGCAGTAAGGGATGATAAAGGCACTTACACTGTGAAAGCTTCCAACCGCCTTGGCACTGCATTTCGCAATGTGCATGTTGAAGTGTATGGTAAGGATGCAACATATTAATAAAACGACAGCTAATAAAATGTGTTTGCCTTTTTCTTAATGTATTCTATGTTATTCTGTTGCTTTCATACAGATCGTCCTTCTCCACCAAGAAATCTTGCTGTTTCTGATATTAAAGCGGAATCATGCTACTTAACATGGGATGCACCTCTTGATAATGGTGGTAGTGAAATTACTCATTACATTATTGAGAAACGTGATGCTAGTAGGAAGAAATCTGAGTGGGAAGAAGTCTCCAAAAGTGCTGTTGAGCGAAGATTTGGGGTAATTTATAAACTATCTTTATTAAATACTTTAGTATGAATAAAAAATAACAATAGTACACATCAAATGAAAACTGTTACTTGTATAGATACTTGTGCTCATGCTCCATTTAGACTCCAGAATTGCTGTATGAATGTTGCCCATCTACGTACGTGTGCTTTCCTCATGTGACAAAACAAAAGAAATTGTTCTCCTTTGCTATTTAATCTCATCTGAGTTTAGAAGACATCTTCCTTTCCATTTCCCAGCATTACTCATAGCTTTACCAATTTCACAAAACAAACAGTGACATTTTTATTTATGTTTAATCCTATGCACAGGAAATAATAGCACTAGGGCATTACATACAGCTGTGTAGTACATAAACATAGGTATGTCAATGAGATTCCAAGACAGAATTTAAAGCAAAAAACACTGCATAACTTATTTTAAGTTGACAACTATTGATTTAAATCTTGTTTTTCAGGTATGGAATCTTGCAACAAATGAAAAATATCAATTTAGAGTCCGGGCTGTAAACAAATATGGAATAAGTGATGAATGCCTCTCAGAGAAAGTTGTTATTAAGGATCCCTATGGGCTTCCTGGACCTCCTGGAAAGCCCAAAATTTTAGATCGCACCAGATCATCAATGCTGGTGACTTGGGAGCCTCCTTTGAACAATGGTGGCAGCCCCATAACCGGATATTGGTTGGAAAAGAGAGAGGTTGGAGGTGTCTACTGGTCACGTGTTAACAGGGCCCCAGTAACAAAGCCATCAGTAAAAGGTCTAGAGTACAATGTGCTTCGTTTGGCTGAAGGTGTTGAATACCAATTTAGAGTTATGGCTGAAAATCTTGCTGGAATTGGCCCTCCCAGTGAACCATCAGATCCTGCCTTAGCAGCAGATCCCATATGTAAGTATGACTTATCCCATAAGTAATTTGTATGACTATTTTTAAGGACTGTATCATACCAGAACCAAAATAGGCTACTATTACTTATATTGAATTTAGTGCAATTAATCCAGTGCTTTGTTTTCATTAAACCAAAAAAGAATTTATTGACACAAAGTAGTTTCCTGATTTGCTGTTTTTCACTGTTTTAAAAATAATTAGCTTTAATTTATTTTTTTTACCTCTTTTATGAATCTTAAACTGTGATTGCATCAGTGCAAACATAGGCTTGAGTTCAGAATCAGTATTTATATTATTATTGGGGTTTTTTATTGTTATAGCTTTATGTCTTCAAACTTTATGTCGTTCAAACTTTATGTCTTGTACTTTAAGTATCCCTTAACAATATTTGTAATATATGTAATTAGGATACGTGTTCTGGGATTCTACACTCTACATATGACAGAAGAAATTGAAAATACTTGCATTCTTTTATAAACTATTCAGAAAATTGTAGGCAGACACTAACTCGGGTAATTTTCATTTGTCCTTGTTTTACAAGTTGTGCCTGGTCCACCATCTTGCCCAGAGGTCAAAGACAAAACCAAATCATCTGTAGCACTTGCATGGAAGCCACCACAAAAGGATGGTGGCAGTCCTATAAAAGGATATATTGTTGAAATGCAAGATGAAGGTAGTACTGACTGGAAGAAGGTGAATGAAGGAGACAAACTCTTTCCTACTTGTGAATGTGTTATTCCCAACTTGAAAGAGCTCAGAAAATACCGATTTAGGGTGAAAGCCGTAAATGCTGCTGGTGAATCAGAGCCAAGCCCTGCAACATCAGAAATACTTGTCCAAGATATTCTAGGTGAGTGTTCTGAGAACTAATTTAGTTAGTTATATCTAAATGCCACCTAGTGCTGTGAATGTTCAAGCAGGATGCCAAGCAAGCCAAAGCCAAAACAGAACAAACTATTATGCAAAAATATATCGAAAGATTGACACACATTTTTGAAGGTGTCGTGATGACCATTACCAGGGCAGTAACCATTAGAAAATACATGAGAACCTACAGCCATACTAAAGAAATAAAGTGTATTTTATGAAGAAATGGCTGCAACAATTTTTTTCAATTTATATACTTTCCAGCTGCTTCTTACACACCCAAACTTTCTTACATAAACATGCATTCTGCATGTTTGTGTGGGGTTTTATCTCCGTGCTGACAGAAATTCACCTTTACTAGCTTTTAAAATTTATATATTAAAATATTTTTGCAGAGGAACCAGAAATCTTCCTTGATATTGGAGCACAGGATTTCCTCTCTTGTCGTGCTGGCACAACAATTAAAATCCCAGCTGTTATCAAGGGTCGTCCAGTTCCAAAAACATTTTGGGAATTTGAAGGAAAAGCGAAGACAACAGCAAAGGTTAGTAAAAGAAAAAACTTTTTTCAACGTGTGTTTCTAGACATTTAAGCCTATCCCCTTTTGTATTTACATTATTTCTTTTTGTTCATAGGAGGGAGGTCATAATGTACCTGAAGAAGCTCAGGTATAGCAAATAATTTTTGGAACTTTAGGCTTGATGCATTTTTCAAACATAAATATTTAAAGTTATCTATAACTTTTCTTTCTTTCTATAATACACAGGTGGAAGCAACTGATACACGTTCAGTGATTATCATCCCTGAGTGCAACAGAAGTCATTCTGGACGATACAGTATTACAGCAAAGAACAAAGCAGGACAAAAAACTGTGCATGTCAGAGTCAATGTGCTTGGTATGGTTTACACATACTGAAGTATTCAAATACTGTGTTTTAGCCTTCTTTTTATGCATACTTATGTAAAATTGTTTCTGCTGTGCTTTTATCTTACAGATGTCCCAGGTCCACCAAAAGACCTAAAAGTAAGTGATATCACAAGAGGTAGTTGTAAACTTTCATGGAAGATGCCAGACGATGATGGTGGAGATAGAATCAGAGGCTATGTTATAGAAAAAAGAACTATTGACGGGAAAGCCTGGACTAAAGTCAATGCAAACTGTGGAAGTACTTCCTTTGTTGTACCTGATCTCATATCTGGCCAAGAGTATTTCTTTCGTGTGCGTGCAGAAAACCGTTTTGGTGTTGGCCCTCCTGCAGAAACCATCCAACGGACCACAGCTAGGGATCCAATCCGTAAGTGAAATCAAAGTCAATTAAATTCTTTAACACTAGAAGTACTGTACAGTGGATTTATTCACATTTCTGTTTTGTTTGTAAAGATCCTCCTGACCCACCTATTAAACTAAAGATAGGCCTTGTTACCAAGAACACAGTCAGCTTGACATGGAAACCACCAAAGAATGATGGTGGAGCTCCTGTTACGCATTATAATGTTGAATGTCTCCGCTGGGATCGTACCGGAGAAGTGAAAGAGACTTGGAAGCAATGCAACAGACGGGACGTAGAGGAAACCAAGTATACTGTTGAGGATCTTGTAGAAGGTGGAGAATATGAATTCAGAGTCAAAGCTGTAAATATAGCAGGTCCCAGTAGGCCTTCTGCCACTGTTGGCCCACTTGTTGTCAAGGACCAGACATGTAAGTACTAACTGCTACCACTAAATATAAAATCCATTTTAAAATTATGAAATATTTTGGTATGTTAATTTTTCAATATTTCATTGTAGGCCCACCATCTATTGAACTCAAAGAATTTATGGAAGTTGAAGAAGGAACAGATGTTAACATTGTGGCCAAGATAAAGGGTGTACCCTTCCCCACATTAACATGGCTAAAAGCTTCTCCAAAGAAACCAGATGACAAAACGCCAGTGGTATATGATCAACATGTCAACAAGATTGTTGGTGAAGATACTTGCACTCTATTGATTCAACAGTCTCGCAGAAATGATACAGGTTTATATACTATAACAGCTGTAAATAATCTGGGAACTGCTTCAAAGGAGATGAGACTAAACGTTCTAGGTAGATATCAAGAACTCTTATGAATTGCATAAATTGATAGCATCCATGTGATACTTTCTTTTACTAGCATTTGAATTAATTCTTCTTTTAAAAATGTATCTTTTAGGTCGTCCTGGACCTCCAGTGGGACCAATTAAATTTGAATCCATTTTGGCAGATAAAATGACAATATCATGGCTTCCTCCATTAGATGATGGTGGTTCTAAGATTACAAACTATGTTATAGAGAAAAAAGAAGCAAATAGGAGGACATGGGTACCCGTTACTAATGAGCCTAAGGAATGCTTATTCACTGTTCCCAAGTTGATGGAAGGCCATGAATATGTGTTCCGCATTATGGCACAAAACAAATACGGTATTGGAGAACCTTTGGATAGTGAACCAGAAACAGCAAGAAACCTTTTCAGTAAGTAGGAATATGATTTCAAATTATGTCAGTTGTTTTCATAGACTGTTATGAGTACAGCATCTGTTAAATACCACTACTACTTTTCTCTCTTCATGTAAGTAAATTTTCTAGAAGAGCTTGAGTTTTAGCATTATTAGTTAGTTCTAACAGAATGTGTGATACTTAAATATACTTTCTTCTTCCTTGTTATATATTAAAATACAATCTCAAGCCTTTTTAAGGTTTAAATACACAAATATATGTTTATCTGATAATATTCAGGTCACTCTGTTCTATTTTAGACATTACTGACATTATAGATTGGGAAGAGTCAATTTCCTGCCTTCAGTTCTGAAAGACAAATTAGACAGGGTAGCTCTGTAGAAGGAATGTTAGGTTGGCAAGAGAAAATCATTCTTAAAACACCCAAGGTTAAGATGGGCACTGAAATGAGGTACTTATCCAGGAAGGGAAGTAAAAGTCATTTTTAACAATTGTTATTTGAAGGACAGATACTTTATGTTTCATAGAAGTATATGTACCTGAATTGGTATGGGAAGGTGAATGAGGGATGGAGTCATGTGCAGATTGGTAACTACCTAATGCAACTGTGACCATGTGAGTGCATAGCTCTGTTTGGCACTCTAGTTATCTCTATCTTCCTTTAGCTGGTGTTTTGTTTTTTTTTTTTAATAAGCCATGTGTGATTTTTTTTTTCCCCCCTCCCCCTAGCTGTTCCTGGACCATGTGAGAAGCCAACAGTTAGCAGTATAACACGTGACTCAATGACTGTAAACTGGGAAGAACCAGAGCATGATGGTGGCTCTCCTATTACTGGTTACTGGTTGGAGCGCAAAGAGACTACTGGAAAGAGATGGACGAGGGTTAACCGTGATCCTATAAAACCTATGGCATTGGGGGTCTCATACAAAGTTACAGGTCTTATCGAAGGCTCTGAATATCAGTTCCGTGTTTCAGCTATCAATGCAGCTGGTGTTGGTCCACCAAGCATGCCATCTGATCCAGCAATTGCTAGAGATCCTATAGGTAAATATTTTAGATTCCTTTTTTAAGAATGTATAGAATCACAGAATCTCTAGGTTGGAAAAGACCTTTAAGATCATCAAGTCCAACCATTAACCTAACAATACTAATACCACCACTAAACCATGGCCCTAAGCACCTCATCCACACATCTCTTAAATACCTTCAGGGATGGTGACTCAACCTAATGGGGTGGTTGTAACACAAATGCAGGACCTGGCACTTGGCCTTGCTGAATCTCATACAATTGGCCTCAGCCCATCAATCCAGCTTGTTCAGATTCCTCTGAAAAGCCTTCTTACCATCAGGCAGGTCAACACTCCCACCCATCTTGGCGTGTTCTGCAAACTTACTCAGGGTGCACTTGATCCCCTCATCCAGATCACTGATAAAGATAGTTGGGGGGAAAAGTGGGGAACACCACTTATGACTACTTCTATCTGGATTTAACTCCATTCACCACCACTCTTTGGGCCTGGCCATCCAGCCAGTTTTTTCCCAGTGAAGAGTGTACCTGTCTAAGCCATAAGCAGACAGTTTCTCCAGGACAACTCAGTGGAAAACAGAGTCAAAGTCTTTACTAAAGTCTAGGCAGACTTTAGTCTACATCCACAGCCTTTCTCTCATCCACTAAGTGGTTCACCTTGTCATAGAAGAAGATTCATCAAGCATCAGGCAGAACCTGCCTTTCATAAACCCAAGCTCAATGATCCTGATCACCTGCTCATCCTGTACATGCCATATGATGGCATTCCAGATGATCTGCTCCATAACTTTCACCAGCACTGAGGTTGAATTTGAAAATATTCAAATAAGAATATCAAAAATATTATTATGCTTTAATGGTATAATGGTATTTTTCAGCTCCACCTGGCCCTCCCATTCCGAAAGTTACTGATTGGACAAAGTCTTCTGTAGACTTGGAGTGGACTCCACCTCTAAAGGATGGTGGTTCTAGGGTCACTGGCTACATTGTTGAATATAAAGAGGAAGGAAAGGAAGAATGGGAACGGGTAGGTGGAAAAATATTACAGAATCTGCATTTCTTTTCTCTGTGTGTCTATCAAAAGAAATCCCTCCAGAAAAAATATTTTTTACAAATTTTCACTATGCATTTTATTTTCTAGTAGTTCATATTTTTGAACCATAATTATCTTCCTAGGTTTAAAAAATAAGATGAAATGTAAAAGTCAGCAACTGTCACCCTACAACATCAAGTTAACTTTGCAGTTTGCTAAACTTAGAAATTTTAAACTCCTGATCAAAAATGTGATAAAATATACACGTAATTTCTGATAAAAGAACAGAATACAAGGCTAAGTAAGATTTGTCACAAGTATCAGACTGTGCCAAATCATTTGCAATTACTATGTCCGTATATTTTCCTACTTTTTTCAGTAATGAATTACTGAAAATTTAGCTGATGCATACCTTGACTATTTTTTAATCTCCTTAATATTTGGGTGCATTTTAACTAATACCCAAATTTCCTGCTTTGTTTCCAGGTAGACAGGATTCATACTGGGGTTTAAAAAGAACAAAGATTCCCCCCACAAACACTCCCACACTCATTTACATGAGTTTATTTGTCCAATAGCACACATAATTCTTCTGAGACCACAGACTATTTTTATTTCTGTAATATCCTTGTATGTTAGAATTACCAAAAAGGTGAATTGTCAGAATAACTTGTATGTCCGTGTCCTGTATTTCTTTACACAGATTATGAAGAATGCTATGTGAGCTAGATCCATGTATGCTTAAGATTCTCTTCTGCTTGTAAATCTAAGCCAACATCTGATATAAGATTTGTTTCAAACACTACAAAGTAATCGATGATAGCTTCATGTTAGCTGATGTTATAATATTTTTTTTTCCAGGTGAAAGATAAAGAAATTAGAGGAACTAAGTTTGTTGTGGCAGGATTAAAAGAAGGATGTTTTTACAAATTTAGAGTTAGAGCAGTGAATGCTGCTGGCATCGGAGAGCCTGGAGAAGTTACAGACATTATTGAAATGAAGGACAGAATTGGTATTTATCATTTACACTTACATTTTTAGTACCTCTAAATAAAAGTGAGAAAAAAACATAATTTAATTTTTTTGTTCACTTCCCACAGTGGCTCCTGATATTAATCTGGATGCAAGTGTTAGGGACAGAATTGTTGTTCATGCTGGAGGAGTAATTCGGATCATAGCATATGTATCAGGAAAACCACCTCCAACAGTGACTTGGAGCAGGGATGACCATGCTTTACCAGAAGAAGCCAAAATTGAAGAAACAGCTATTAGTTCTTCTCTGGTCATCAAGAATTGCAAAAGGAGCCATCAGGGTATATACACTCTTCTCGCTAAAAACGCCGGTGGTGAGCGGAAGAAGACTATTATTGTTGATGTGCTAGGTAAATAGCAACTTCAGTCCTTGTGAATAAGTAAAATTTTGTAACATTCAGCATCTGTGCTTAATACTCCATTTATTCTTTGCTTTCAGATGTGCCAGGCCCAGTTGGAATGCCATTCCTTACTGAGAATCTAACCAATGACTCTTGTAAATTGACATGGTTTACTCCAGAAGATGATGGTGGATCTCCTATTACCAACTATATAATTGAAAAACGTGAATCTGACCATAGAGCTTGGACTCCAGTAAGCTACACGGTTACAAGACAGAATGCTACTGTTCAGGGACTCACTGAAGGGAAAGCCTACTTTTTCCGAATTTCAGCTGAGAATATAATTGGCATGGGTCCATTCACAGAGACAACAAAAGAGATTGTCATTAGAGATCCAATAAGTAAGTATATTTTCGGTCTTGGATTACTGTCATATGTGATGAACATGCAGAAAAAAATGCATTTACCTGTTTGTTTGTTTGTTTATTCACAGCTGTTCCTGACCGTCCAGAAGACTTGGAAGTAAAATCAGTTACCAAGAACTCTGTCACATTAACCTGGAACCCTCCAAAATACAATGGAGGCTCAGATATCACCATGTACGTTCTAGAGAGCCGTCTCATTGGAAAAGAGAAATTCCACAAAGTTACAAAGGAGAAAATGCTTGATAGAAAATACACTGTAGAAGGTTTGAAAGAGGGTGATACCTATGAGTATCGTGTGAGTGCTTGCAATATTGTGGGGCAAGGCAAGCCATCATTTTGCACAAAACCAATCACATGCAAGGATGAAATCGGTATGCCTCTTTTTCATATTTCTTTTGAAAACAATGATTACATTTACTGATTCCTTACTTTTTCATATTAATATTGCTGACATTTGTGGGCACTGTGTCTTTTAATATTGTCTTTCAGCTCCTCCAACACTTGATCTTGACTTTAGAGACAAGCTTATTGTTCGGGTTGGTGAAGCTTTCAGCCTGACTGGACGTTATTCAGGCAAGCCTGCACCAAAGGTTACTTGGCTAAAGGATGATACTGTTGTGAAAGAAGATGACCGCACAAAGATCAAGACAACTCCTACAACTCTTTGCTTAGGGATACTAAAATCTGTCCGTGAAGACTCAGGCAAATATTGTGTTACTGTAGAAAACAGCACAGGATCAAGAAAAGGATTTTGTCAAGTTACTGTTGTTGGTAGGTTTTACTGAACAATATTGTATGTGATTTTTAGTAGAGATTAGAATTCATTGAGTTATATAAAAAGTAAAGATTAAAATGTGTTCTTTATTACAAAATTGGATTTACTGCATAATCATTTATACTGATATACTATTGACTAATTTTGAGTATATAGGTAACTCTGGCTTAGTTTATTCAGCATGAATAATTTAATGTCTCAAGAATGTCAACATCGTAGAAAATCTTAATCACCAAATATCTTATAAGCATTAAGGAATAGTGTCCAGTGACTCAAACATATGTTAAAGAGGAATAGTCTTGAGGTCTTGATACCTTATTAAAGCTCTGATGCCAAGTTTCTCATTTCATAATATATTTATTGTATTGTCACTGTTTAATCTATGTCATTATATGAAGTTCATATAAATCATGGGTATGCTTTATTTTTTCTTAAATAGATCGCCCATCACCTCCAGTTGGCCCAGTTATATTTGATGAAGTTCACAAAGATCATATGGTAGTTTCCTGGAAACCTCCATTAGATGATGGAGGCAGTGAGATTACAAATTACATTATTGAGAAGAAGGATGCACACAGAGACCTGTGGATGCCAGTTACATCTGCCACAGTTAAGACAACATGCAAAATTCCCAAGCTGCTTGAAGGAAGAGAATATCAAATTCGAATTTATGCTGAAAATCTTTACGGCATAAGTGATCCCCTCATCTCTGATGAGATGAAAGCCAAGGACCGTTTCCGTATGTTACTCATTTGCTATCTTACTTTGATACTTTAATCTTTACTCCTTCAGTGCTCATAAACTCTTTTTTTCCCAGGTGTTCCTGATGCACCTGAGCAACCAATCATTAAGGATGTTACCAAAGACTCGGCAGTAGTAGTTTGGAACAAACCATATGATGGAGGCAAGCCAATAACAAACTATATTGTAGAAAAGAAGGAAACAATGGCTACAAGATGGGTCAGAGTTACTAAAGACCCAATTTTCCCCAGTACTCAGTTCAAAGTACCTGACCTCCTTGAAGGCTGTCAATATGAATTCCGTGTTTCAGCAGAAAATGAAATCGGTGTTGGTGATCCTAGTCCACCATCAAAGCCAATTTTCGCTAGAGATCCAATTGGTAAAGTATTGAATTTCATTTCTCATTGAAATTTTAAGGCATTGTTCATTTCAGTTAGAAAATTATCTTATTGGCTTCCTTTTTTTCCCCATTTCTTTCCTTTTTTCCTTTTTTAACAGCAAAACCAAGTCCACCTGTTAATCCAGAAGCAGTAGATAAAACTAAAAATTCAGTTGATTTATGCTGGCAACCACCACGCCATGATGGTAATGGCAAGATAATTGGCTACCTTGTTGAATATCAGAGAGTTGGAGATGAAGAATGGAAAAAGGCCAATCTTACAGCAGATTCTTGTCCTGAAACAAAATACAAAGTCACTGGCCTTACTGAGGGTTTGACCTATAAGTTCAGGGTCAAGGCAGTCAATGCAGCAGGTGAATCTGAACCAGCCTATGTTCCTGATCCAGTAGAAGTAAAGGACAGACTTGGTGAGTTCAATAAAACCAAATAAGTTTACCAAGTAAGAGGGGGTTTTCCCTCATTTTCTAAAAACCTATCGTTTTGATTCTAGAACCTCCTGAGCTGATACTTGATGCTAATATGGCCCGAGAACAGCATGTAAAAGCTGGAGATACCCTGAGACTTAGTGCTGTTATTAAAGGTGTTCCATTCCCAAAAGTTTCTTGGAAGAAAGAAGATCATGAGGTGTCACCCAAAGCCGATATTGAGGTTACAGGAGTTGGCAGTAAGCTTGAAATTCGTAACACTGTCCATGAAGATGGTGGAATTTACTCCCTGACAGTTGAAAATCCAGCTGGTTCAAAGACTGTTTCAGTAAAAGTTGTTGTCTTAGGTAATCTTTTTGATGTTCCTTTCATATGGCATTTTTTTATTCTGTAATTAAAGATTAAGAAATAAAGGGATGTCTGGAAATTATTAGTAAACTGAGTTATAAGAAACACGCAGTGGAAAAAATGACTAAAAATTATATTAAGTATATTCATTTATCTTTAAATTTACTGAGTTTTATAAAAAATGTTTCTATTATCAAACAAATAACAGATTCTTGGGGTTTTTTTCAATATTAGATAAGCCTGGTCCACCCAGAAATCTGCAAGTCAGTGAAGTTAGAAGCGATTCTTGCTATCTCACTTGGATGGAACCAGAAGATGATGGTGGCTCTGTCATTACCAACTATGTGGTGGAAAGGAAAGATGTAGCTTCTGCACAGTGGGTAGCCATCTCATCATCCTCCAAGAAACGCAGTCACATGGCTAAATATCTGATGGAAGGCACTCAGTATCTCTTCCGAGTTGCAGCTGAGAATCAGTATGGTAGAGGCCCATATGTGGAAACAATCAAGCCTATTAAAGCTATAGATCCACTGCGTAAGTTATATAGTTTGCTTTGTTCACATTGTTCTTGGTAATTTTTGAGATTATCTTGTTGGTACTAATGTGATCATGGTAAACTGCTACCATAGACTGCCCATCCTAGTAACCATTTATTTTTATATATTATAAAAGATCCTCCAGGGCCACCAAAGAATCTGCACCATGTAGATGTTGACAAGACTGAAGTGTCCCTTGTTTGGAATCGACCAGACCGTGATGGTGGTGCTGAGATAACTGGATATCTGGTGGAATATCAAGAAGATGGTGCAGATGAGTGGATAAAGTTCCAGACAGTCCCTATGCTAGACTGTGTTGTTACAGGCTTACAAAAAGGAAAAATATACAAATTCCGTGTGAAAGCACAGAATATTGTTGGCCTCAGCCTTCCAGATACTACCATACCAATAGAGTGTCAAGAAAAACTAGGTAATTTTAAGTTTTTCATGTTGCTTCACTGATTCTTTCTGTCTTTAAACATTTTCTCTGAAAAGTTAATTTCTATTTTTCTCTCATTTCAGTACCTCCATCTGTGGACCTAGATGTGAAGTTAATTGAAGGTCTTGTTGTTAAAGCTGGCACCACAGTAAGACTTCCTGCTATTATGCGAGGTGTGCCAGTACCCACTGCAAAATGGGTTACCGATGACGTTGAAATTAAAACAGATGGCAGACACAAGATTGAGACTGACAATTATTCGACTGTACTTACCATCAAAGACTGTATAAGGAAAGATACAGGAGAATATCTACTCACAGTATCTAATGCAGCTGGCAGTAAAACTGTTGCTCTACATCTTACAGTTTTGGATGTTCCTGGCCCACCGACTGGTCCTATTAATATTCTTGAAGTAACACCAGAACATATGGTTATTTCTTGGCGTCCTCCTAAAGATGATGGTGGGAGTCCTATAATAAATTATATTGTTGAGAAGCGTCAATCAAAGAAAGAAACTTGGGGAGTGGTTAGCTCTGGAACAAGTCACACAAAAATTAAGATTCCAAGACTGCAGAAAGGCTGTGAATATATTTTCCGTGTCCGGGCAGAAAATAAGATAGGCATTGGTGCACCCCTTGATTCAGAACCAACAGTTGCTAAACATATGTTTGATCCACCATCCCCACCTGGTAAACCAACTGTTTATGATATCACAGAAAATGCTGCAACAGTGTCTTGGACCCTACCAAAATCTGATGGTGGAACTCCAATTACTGGTTATATACTTGAACGTCGGGAAGCATCTGGTAAATGGGTGCGTGTCAATAAGTCACCAATACTTGATATGAAATACAGAGTCACTGGACTTTTTGAAGGCAACACATACGAATTCAGAGTTTTTGCAGAAAACATGGTGGGCTTAAGCAAACCATCTCCAAGTTCTGATCCTATAAAAGCATCACGTCCTATCACTCCTCCTGGACCACCAATAAATCCAAAATTAAAAGACAAAACCAAAGAGACAGCTGATCTTGTGTGGACAAAGCCCCTCAAAGATGGTGGCAGCCCAATTCTGGGATACATTGTGGAATGTCAGAAAACAGGAACTACACAGTGGAATAGGATTAATAAGGATGAACTCATTAGACAGTGTGCTTTCAGAGTACCTGGGTTAGTAGAAGGAAATGAGTATAAATTCCGAATAAAAGCTGTCAACATTGTGGGAGAAGGAGAACCAAGAGAACTGCCAGAAACTGTACTTGCAAAGGATATTCTTTCTCCTCCAGAAATAAGTTTAGATGTGACCTGTCGAGACTTAATTACAGTCCGAGTAGGACAAACAATCCGTATTACTGGTAAAGTAAAAGGAAGGCCAGATCCTGATATAACATGGTCTAAAGATGGCAAAGTACTAGTCCAGGAAAAGCGTGTTGAAATAGCCCATGATCTACCTAATGTTGAACTGCAAGTAAAAGAAGCCAAAAGATCTGACCATGGCAAATATATAATAGCAGCTAAGAACAGCTGTGGACATGCCCAAGCTTTTGCTGTTGTTAATGTACTTGACAGACCTGGACCATGTCAGAACCTGAAAATAAGCTATGTCACAAAAGATTCTTGTATGATCGCCTGGGAGAGTCCAGTGGATAATGGTGGCTCTGAAATTACAAATTACATAGTAGAGTGCCGGCAACCAAATCAGAGGGGATGGTCAATTGTCTCCTCTGATATCACTAAACGATTAGTAAAGGCAAATCTTATAGAGAACCGTGAATACTTCTTCAGAGTTTGTGCAGAAAACAAAATAGGTCCAGGTCCTTGCATTGAGACCAAGACTCCCATCCTTGCCATCAATCCTATTGACAAGCCTGGAGAGCCAGAAAATCTTCACATTGCAGAGAAAGGAAAGACATTTGTATATCTGAAATGGAGAAGGCCAGATTATGATGGCGGAAGTCCCAATTTAAGTTATAATGTGGAGAGAAAACTGAAAGATTCAGATGAATGGGAAAGGGTTCACAAAGGCAGCATTAAGGAAACACACTATATGGTAGATAAATGTGTTGAAAATAAGATTTACCAATTCCGTGTTCAGACGAAGAATGAGGCAGGTGAAAGTGACTGGGTAAGAACAGAAGAAATTGTTGTTAAGGAAGATCTGCAGAAACCAGTGCTAGACTTGAAATTAAGTGGGGTGCTAACTGTGAAAGCTGGTGACACACTTAGAATTGAGGCTGGAGTCAGAGGAAAACCACAGCCTGAAGTTGTATGGACAAAAGACAAAGATGCCACAGATCTAACCAGATCTCCAAGAGTCAGTATTGAAACAACTTCTGACACATCTAAGTTTGTTCTTACAAAATCAAGGCGTAGTGATGGTGGGAAATATGTGATTACTGCAACTAACACAGCTGGCAGTTTTGTAGCATATGCTACTGTTATTGTCTTAGATAAACCAGGTCCTGTAAGAAATTTGAAAGTCACTGACATTTCAAGTGATAGATGTACTGTTACTTGGGAACCTCCAGAAGATGATGGTGGTTGTGAAATACAGAACTACATCCTGGAGAAATGTGAAAGCAAACGGATGGTTTGGTCTACATACTCTTCCTCTGTCCTAACAAACTATGCAAATGTGACACGTCTCATTGAAGGTAATGAATATATATTCAGAGTTCGTGCAGAGAATAAAATGGGCACTGGTCCACCAACAGAAACACACCCAATTATTGCAAAAACAAAATATGATAGGCCTGGACGCCCTGACCCTCCGGATGTCACAAGAGTTAGCAAAGAAGAGATGACAGTTGTTTGGAATCCACCAGAATATGATGGTGGCAAATCAATTACAGGATACATTTTAGAGAAGAAAGAGAAACGATCACTAAGATGGGTTCCTGTTACTAAGACTGCAATCCCAGAGAGGCGCAAGAAGGTTACTAATCTCATCCCTGGACATGAATATCAGTTCCGCGTCAGTGCTGAGAATGAAGTCGGACTTGGAGAACCAAGCTTGCCATCAAGACCTGTAGTAGCAAAAGACCCAATAGGTATCATACCACTATATTCTACTATATTTTATTTTAAAGTTAACAGATTGCTAAATTGCACACCTGTGTTCTTATCTGTAATTTTTATTGTCTTTCAGAACCACCTGGTCCTCCCACAAACTTGAGAGTGGTTGATAGCACAAAGAATTCCATAACCCTTGGCTGGGGAAAACCAGTGTATGATGGTGGTGCTCCAATTATTGGATATGTTGTGGAAATTAGACCAAAAGTTGAGGGTGCTGATCCTGAAGCAGGATGGAAACGATGCAATGTTGCTGCCCAGGTTATTCATACAGAATTTACAGTCACCAGTCTAGATGAGAACCAGTTATATGAGTTCAGAGTTTCTGCCCAGAACCAGGTTGGCCTTGGCCGACCAGCTGAACTGAAAGAAGCTGTGTCTCCCAAAGAAATACTTGGTGAGTTTTCCCATCTTCTTTATGAGTATTTACATACAATCTTTATTTGCTTTAGTTTTATTTCATTTCATGTGCTAAACTTTTCGTTATGTTTCCTTAATTTTGTCTTCCAGAACCTCCTGAGATTGAGTTGGATGCAAGCATGAGAAAATTAGTCACAGTCAGGGCAGGATGCCCTATTAGACTTTTTGCCATTGTTAGGGGTCGTCCAGCACCAAAAGTCACCTGGAGGAGAATGGGTATTGATAATGTTATCAGGAAAGGACAAGTTGACCTGGTTGACACTATGGCCTTCTGTGTCATTCCTGATTCAACACGTGATGATTCAGGCAAATATTCATTAACACTTGTTAATGCAGCTGGCGAAAAGGCTGTATTTGTGAACGTCAGAGTCTTGGGTAAGTAATGAGAGCTACAATTTTTTAATGATATTGAATGTTCATTGCAAAAATTTTTATGACTCCCAGGTACTAGAGTTTTCAAGCACAACTGTGTCAGCTAACACTAACTCCCCCAGCACAGGAAAATGTTAGTCCCCTTAAATTTTAGCTTATTAAAAAAGAAAAGACTACTATAAACTGAAATTTCTTTATAGATACTCCTGGACCTGTATCGGACTTCAAGGTTTCAGATGTCACCAAGATGTCATGCCATCTTTCATGGGCACCTCCAGAGAATGATGGTGGTAGCCCAGTGACTCATTACATCCTGCAAAAACGTGAGGCTGACAGGAAGACCTGGGGAACAGTCACTGCAGAACTAAAGAAAACTAGTTTCCATATAGTTAACCTTGTACCTGGAAATGAGTATTTCTTTAGAGTAACAGCAGTAAATGAATACGGGTCAGGTGTTCCAAGTGACATACCAAAACCAGTTCTAGCAACAGATCCCCTAAGTAAGTATGCCTTTCTGCACATTTTATGTTTTTTTCTCTAATTTAAGTAAGATTTTGCATTTTTTGAAAGAAATGTTTCTAAATTGGGTAATGCTACTAACTACTGAATGATAGACATAAATATTTCTCTGTGAGTTTCTTTCAAATAATACAACCTATGAATATAGTACCTTTGCAATTACTAAGAATTTTGCTCTTTTCCGTATTGTCTTTGTTGAGTTAGCATGGATAGCATCCGATAATTCAACAAGTATTCAATAGTCAGAATGTCTTGGAAATTCAACATTTAATGTGCATGGGTTTGAGGTTTTTGTTTGTTTTTTTTTTTTCTCCCCTGAAAGGTGAACCTGATCCACCAAGAAAACTTGAAGTTACAGAAATTACGAAGAATAGTGCTACTTTAGGCTGGCTGCCACCACTGCGTGATGGAGGGTCTAAAGTTGATGGGTACATCGTTAGCTACAAAGAAGAGGACCAACCAGCGGATCGCTGGACAGAATATTCAGTTGTTAAAGATCTCTCCATTGTTGTAGCTGGTCTGAAAGAGGGAAAGAAGTACAAGTTTAGAGTGGCAGCTAGGAATGCTGTAGGAGTAAGTCTGCCAAGAGAAACTGAAGGAATATTTGAAATTAAAGAACAACTCAGTAAGTAAGAATTTAAATACTACCTGTGTTGCGATATTCTGCTTTAATAATTAAATGAGCAAGAATTCTAGTTCTTTGAGAGAGTCCCAGAAAGACATAGGCTTTATGAAGTCATCTGGAGGATTACGGAGGACAATGTAAAGTGAAAGGCAGGGAGGATAGGTTGGCCTAATTAGGGTGATAGGGTCCCTGAGGCACAGGAAGACATAAAGGACAGATGAGAATACTACTCATTTGTGCCATGGAAGGAGCAAAAGAATCAAAACTAGTCAATGGCAAGAAGAAAAGTACCTCAAACATACTGCTAGGTTTCTTTTGGAAGAAATTTGAAAGATTTTGTCCAAAATAAGTAGAAGGGTCTCTCCTTGAAGAATAATTCAAGGGTATAAAATGATTGACTGTGGAAATGGGTTTAGTTCAGTGAGAACTTCAGTTCTCTCTTTCCTCCTTTTCTCCTCCTTCATGTTTGTCTGGTAGAAAGTCAGCAATAAGTGAGCAACAACTTCCAGATATAAAGAGGAATTATGTGTCATGCATTAATAGTCCACAAGTCTCTAAATAAACATGTGAGAAGGCAATCCAAACTCAAAAATATTCTCTTATAAACTGCACAAAAATGTAAAAGTAAGACTGGAATAGATATTGCAGAATATCTAGTTATCAATAAGTGGAACATAAATTTAAAATTACCAAGTCTTTCCTACTGGTGACTCCTCTTGAGAGAGAAGCAGAGAAGTTTCACATGAAGGAATAAATAAAAGTAAGTTAGTATGTCACAGAAGTTGAATTTATATGTCTGTGTTTTTTTTCAGTCCCACCTAAGATCCTGATGCCTGATCACGTTCACATTAAAGCTGGAAAGAAGCTGAGAATTGAAGCTCATGTATATGGGAAGCCTCAACCAGTCTGTAAATGGTTGAAAGGAGATCAAGATGTACTTACATCCAGTCGCCTTGCTGTGCATAAAGCAGAAAAGTCTTCTGTTCTTATCATTAAGGATGTGACTAGAAAAGATTCTGATTTTTACACTCTTACTGCAGAAAATAGCTCTGGTACTGACAGTCAGAAAATCAGAGTTATAGTCATGGGTATGTTCCATTTGATTATTTTTAAACCCAGCTTTATACAAAACTGGTTTTAGTATATTCTAGTTGTTGCTGTTTTCTTTCATCCCTGTTTTTCTTAATCCATATTTTTTGCAGATAAACCAGGTCCACCACAGCCTCCATTTGATATTTCTGAAATAGATGCTGATGCCTGCACTCTTGCATGGCATATACCTCTTGAAGATGGCGGCAGTAACATTACAAACTATGTAGTTGAGAAATGTGATGTTAGCCGAGGAGACTGGGTAACAGCTTTAGCTTCTGTCACAAAGACAAGCTGCAGAATTGGAAAACTGATTCCTGGAGAAGAGTATATGTTCCGTGTTCGTGCTGAAAATCGTTTTGGGATTTCTGAGCCGCTTATATCGGGCAAGATGATTGCACAGTTCCCATTTGGTATGTTAGTTTTTCATAGCAGCATTTGTCTGTTTAGTCTTTTTAGTAAGAAAGCATTTGATTGATATCCATCTTTGTATTTCTTTCTAGATGTTCCTAGTGAACCAAAGAATGCACGTATTACCAAGGTCAATAAGGATTGCATTTTTGTTGCCTGGGATAAACCAGATAGTGATGGAGGCAGTCCAATTACTGGTTATCTCATTGAGCGTAAAGAAAGGAACAGTTTACTGTGGGTGAAAGCTAATGACACAGCTGTGCGCTCCACAGAATACCCTTGTGTGGGGCTCATTGAAGGTCTTGAATATACTTTCAGAATTTATGCATTGAACAGAGCTGGAGCAAGTAAACCTAGTAAACCAACTGAGTTTGTCACAGCAAGAGCACCAGTTGGTAAGTTAAACATACCAATCACTTGTAACAGACTACTGTTTTTGTTTTCGATACAGCTGCAACTCTTCATTTTGCCTTCACATTCATATGTCCATGTTTACCATTATTGCACTGTGAGTGCACTGTGTGGGCATGCTGAGAATATTATCCAGCACTATCAAAACCATTTTTTTAATATATTAGCTTTTTTGGCAAAACAGACTATAACATGATCTTATTTGCCTTAGATCCCCCTGGAAAACCTGAAGTTATTGATGTCACTAAGAGCACTGTATCACTGATATGGACAAGACCAAAGCACGATGGCGGTAGCAAACTTATTGGCTACTTTGTTGAAGCTTGCAAATTACCTGGTGATAAGTGGGTTCGGTGCAATACAACTCCACATCAAATACCCCTAGAAGAGTATACTGCTACTGATTTGGAAGAAAATGCTCAATATCAATTTAGAGCAATTGCCAAGACAGCAGTTAACATTAGCCGACCTTCAGAACCTTCTGATCCCGTAACCATTCATCCAGAAAATGGTAAGAAATGTAAAAGTATTTGAGAACTCTGATAAGAATCTGTACATATTGAACTAACAATCATGTGAAGAATTAGATGTTTATGTCTTACTAGATTGATTAACTCTTGGCCTCTTTCAGTTCCCCCCAGAATAGAGTTGGATCTGTCTATGCAATCACAGCTTACAGTAAAAGCTGGAACTAATGTGCATCTGGAGGCAAATGTATATGGCAAGCCAATGCCAACAATCACCTGGAAGAAAGAAGGAGAAGTTTTAAAGCCATCTGAAGGTGTTAAGATCACCACTAAGAGAAATCTTGCGACAGTTGAGTTGTTCAGCGTTAACAGGAAACAAACAGGAGACTATACTATTACTGCTGAAAATGCAAGTGGATCAAAGTCAGCAACCATTAAGCTTAAAGTACTTGGTAAGCTAGACTTCCTGTTAATAAATACATTTATAGTTAAATGATGCAGCAAGAGATAGAGCTATAACAATGTGATGTTATTTCTTCTAGATAAACCTGGTCCGCCGGCTTCTGTTAAAATCAAACATATATATGCAGATCGTGCAATGCTTTCTTGGGAACCTCCTCTGGAAGATGGAGGTTCAGAAATTACTAACTACATTGTAGACAAGCGTGAAACAAGCAGACCAAACTGGGCCCAAGTCAGTGCCAATGTGCCCATTACAAGCTGTACAGTGGAAAAACTAATAGAAGGACATGAGTACCAGTTCCGCATATGTGCTGAAAACAAATATGGTGTTGGAGACCCTATCTTGACTGAACCAGCAGTTGCTAAGAATCCATATGGTAAGTGCTAGGTGGGATAGCTTCATTAGTGACTGGGATTTGTGTACACTTATGAATGTGAACATAACTTTCAAATAAATCTTCACAGATGTACCCGGACCTTGTGATCCACCAATAATTAGCAATGTAACGAAAGACTTTATGACTGTTAGCTGGAAGCCACCAGCTAGTGATGGTGGATCCCCAATAACTGGTTATATACTTGAGAAGCGTGAAACTAAGGCTCTTAACTGGACAAAGGTAAACAGAAAACCTGTCATTGAAAGAACTGTTAAGGCTACTGGACTGCAAGAAGGAACAGAATATGAGTTCCGGGTGATAGCGTTGAATAAGGCCGGACCTGGCAAGCCTAGCGGACCATCTAAAGCCGTGTATGCTCGTGATCCTCAATGTAAGCTAAAACTCTCAGATATTTTACATGGTTATTTTCAAATACATTTGTACAGCATTTGATACGATAACTTTATGCTATTTTAATTCTCAGATCCTCCTGGCCCACCTGCTTTCCCAAAAGTGGTCGATACTACTCGTAATTCGATAAGCTTGTCATGGAGCAAACCAGCATATGATGGAGGAAGCCCTATTATTGGTTATCTAGTGGAAGCAAAAAGAGCTGACTCAGACAACTGGGTCAGATGCAATCTACCCAAGAACTTACAGGCTACACAATTCGTGGTAACAGGGCTGATAGAAGATACAGAGTACCAGTTCCGTGTTTATGCTGTCAACAAGATTGGATACAGTGATCCAAGTGATGTTCCTGATAAACACACTGCCAAAGACATTTTAAGTATGTTCACTGAAAACAAATTACCTTGTTGAATTTTGCTTTAATTCATGGAATGGGTTCCAATGTTAGAGTTTGCCACAGATCACAGAAGCAGATTCATTTGGAATATGTAATTTCTAAAAAAGTGTAGGCTAAAAGTGGCTAATTTGGAAGAGAACGGGGCAGTTAGAAACTGAGTAGAATCTGACTGGTGTCTTCTTTTTTTGCTAGCTACTCTTCTGCCTCCTATCTTGGGTCTTCAATAATTTTTTTTTTTCTCTAATCCTAAAATCAGACTCTTCAGACCTCTCTTCTATTCTTAAAACTTTCAGTTTTCTTCATATCTTCTAAACTATTTGAAGCTAAGATTACTATTGCAAGCATCTGTGTGGCACACTATTTAATTGTATGACAGTTATTCCTTAAGAGCCATGCTGGGTTCTGTATGCATTTTGCTGTATGTACAAAAGCATTGCTACAGAACTGTCTTGGTTCCAGACAAGCAGTACAGTCCAGGAGTCTTTGAAATTCCTTTCAGTTCTAGAGGAACCAGGACACTTCTTCATATGATAAGTAATGTAAATGGTGGAAAAGGCAGGGAAAAAAGGAAGTGAAATCAGGGGAAAAAAAAGCCAATTTTGCAAATTATCTTGAAATGGGAGTCAAGACACTTAACTCACAAACATCCTGGACATGAGAACAAGTTGGTTAATCTAGTGAAATGCTCGTAAAGAGGGACTTTTTGTCACAGTAATTTTAGTGACAGTCTTAAAGATGATGTTTTAATTGCATGTTTTTTGTTAAACACACAGTTCCTCCTGAAGGAGAACTTGATGCAGAACTAAGGAAAGTCCTTGTGTTGCGTGCTGGAGTCACAATGAGACTTTATGTGCCAGTAAGAGGACGTCCACCTCCAAAGATTACATGGTCTAAAGTGGGTGCCAACCTAAGAGATAGACAAGGATTAGACATCAAGTCTACTGATTTTGATACTTTCCTGCGTTGTGAAAATGTAAATAAATATGATGCTGGAAAATACATCCTCAGTCTGGAGAACAGCTGTGGCAAAAAGGCATACACCATTGTTGTAAAAGTACTTGGTAAGTGTCAGGGTTTCCCCCACTATAATATATTAATTAACTTTCTAACTGATAATATTTTGTATTTTGTTTACTAAATCAAATGTGGGGTGGTTGTGTTTCTCTAGATACTCCAGGCCCTCCAATTAACTTGATTGTAAAGGAAGCATCTAAGGATTCTGCCTTCATTACATGGGAACCTCCGCTAATAGATGGTGGCAGTCCAATCACAAATTATGTCGTTGAAAAACGTGATGCAGAAAGAAAGTCATGGTCCACAGTAACAACCGAATGTCCAAAGACAAGCTACAGGATAACTAACTTAGAAGAAGGCAAATCTTACTTCTTCAGGGTTTTTGCTGAGAATGAATATGGTATTGGTGACCCCTGTGAAACTCGTGATGCTGTTAAAGCTTCTGGTAAGAAAAATTAATCCATTTCACCCATTTGGATATTCAAATAATTTCTGGTTTTAGCTTGAATGGACACTTACTATGCTTTTCTTCCTCCTAGAAACACCTGGGCCAGTTGTGGATCTAAAAGCTTCAGCTGTAACAAAATCATCATGCAATTTAGTATGGAAAAAACCTATCAGTGATGGTGGAAGCCGTATTTTTGCATATGTTGTTGAGGTTCTGATTGGTGAAGACAAATGGCAAGAAGTCATGCGGGCTAAGAACCTCCATTTTTCAATGAGGGACCTGAAAGAAGGACAAGAATACACTTTCAGAGTGAGAGCTCAAAATGATGCTGGATATGGAACTCCAACAGAGCTCACAATTGTGGCAAGAGATGATGTCGGTAAGAAGCAACTTAACATCATTCATTCAACGCTTCACTTACCCAAATTATATATATTTTATGCTTACTATCACTATTACGCATACATGCAAATCAGATGGCTTTAAAATAGCATCTTAATTTTATCACAGAGCTTATACATGGTTGAATAATTTGTTTCTTTTACTTTTACAGTGGCACCTGATCTTGATTTAAGGGATCTACCTGATTTGTGCTATACAGCCAAAGAGGGTAGTAATTTCCGTCTTAAAATCCCAATTAAAGGCAAGCCTGTCCCAGCCGTAACTTGGAAGAAAGATGAAGACCAGGCACTTACTGAGAGTGGAAGAGTTGCATTTGAATCTACAGCAGTTAACACCACACTTGTAGTACATGACTGCCAGAAAGCTGATGCTGGAAAATACACAATAACTCTGAAGAATGTTGTTGGCAGCAAGGAAGGCACTATTTCTGTGAAAGTTGTTGGCAAACCTGGCATACCAACAGGTCCAGTTAAATTTGAAGAAGTCACAGCTGATGCCATAACCTTAAAGTGGGGCCCTCCAAAAGATGATGGTGGTTCAGAAATCACTAACTATGTCCTAGAAAAGAGAGATAATGTAAACAATAAGTGGGTGACTTGTGCCTCTGCAGTCCAGAAAACCACATTTAGAGTTACAAGACTTCATGAAGGAAATGAATATACATTCAGAATCAGGGCTGAAAATAAATACGGAGTAGGTGAAGGTCTTAAATCTGACCCTGTCATTGCAAAACATCCATTTGGTAAGTATATATCATCATTTTCAAATTGAGAAAAAAAAAAATGTTTTAGTGGTGATATTTATTTTTAATGTTACTGCATTTTTTTTAATATTGTTTAGATGTGCCAGATGCTCCTCCACCTCCCAACATTGTTGATGTTCGGCATGAATCTGTAGCTTTAACTTGGACTGATCCCAGAAGAACCGGAGGCTCACCAATCACAGGTATATCCCAAAAACCTCCCTATTATTTCAGCTCTTAATAGTTCTTTCTCTCTGTTAAAGAGTAAGCTAAAATTATCAGGTGCTTATGCTTTAAATGGATTGATTGATTGGTTGGTTGCTTGATTGATTGATTTCTTTTTTCCCTATGATGATTTTTTAAAAAATTATTGACTTAGGAGTTGGGGAAAGACTGAGAAACAATATTTTTCCACAGAGACAAAATATCTAAAGAAAGACAAACTGACCTATATGTTACATTACTTGTGTCAAATAAAATTGTATGTATAAACATCTCAACATTGCAATTACATTTGTAATATATGTCCACATCCATTTCTTAATCTGGTTTTCAGAGTTCATCTTGCACAATGCCTATGTGACATGCCATACAGGCAGTATGATGTTTCACAATGCTATGAGAAATAAAGATTTCTAGAAAATCCCTCATATTTTCATCTCACTATTTATCTTCTAGGTTATCACATTGAATTCAAAGAAAGAAACAGTCTTCTGTGGAAGAGAGCAAATAAAACACCAATAAGGATGAAAGATTTCAGAGTGACAGGGTTAACTGAAGGTCTGGAATATGAGTTCAGAGTAATGGCAATCAATATGGCTGGAGTAGGTAAACCTAGTCTGCCATCTGAACCAGTTGTGGCACTTGATCCTATTGGTAAGTCATCAGGACAATAAAAAGGAAAATTCTGAAATTTGAAATAAATTCAGTTTGATCACTGTTTATTATTTTTTTCTTCTAGATCCCCCTGGGAAACCTGAAGTTATCAATGTCACTAGGAACTCAGTAACACTCATTTGGACAGAACCAAAATACGACGGTGGACATAAGTTAACTGGCTATATTGTTGAAAAGCGTGATTTACCCTCAAAGACTTGGACAAAAGCTAATCACGTGAATGTTCCAGACTGTGCATTTACTGTAACTGACCTCATTGAAGGCTCTAAATATGAGTTCAGAATTAGAGCCAAGAACACTGCTGGAGCTATCAGTCCTCCATCTGAACCCACAGAAACCATAATATGCAAGGATGAGTATGGTATGTAGATGGCATTAAAAATGTAGAATTTTATTTGAATAATAATACCAAACCCTCTTCCTCCACCCACCCCCACCCCC